GCTTGGTCCAAAGGGTGGCTGCTCAGATCTGATCAGAGATCAGCCACTCTTTCTTCCATGAGGATGAATAAGAGGAGGGATGAAGAGGGATGCAGGGTTATGGGACAAAATATCCCCACATGGTACCGCCCACCTTCTCTCTTTCACGTCCACCTCATCCTCCTTCAGCACCACATGCCTTACCCACACATCTGGCCAGAGTCCTGTCTGTTTTTCCTCAAAATCATACCTAGACTCTATTCCCATTCTTTCCATTCCTTTCCAACTGCTGTGGTTCACCTTTCATTTTCTCCAGCCTGAACTCTGACCGCAGTTTCCTCACCTGCTTTTGCCACCACTCTGACCACGTCTGCGTCCCTCCACAGATCCCTCTGATGACCTGTATTATGGATGAGATGAAGCTCACACTCCTTAGCCTGGAAGACGGTGGTTCCCGAAGCTGCATGTACATCCCAGTTATGTGGCGTTGTCTTTAACACATAGTGGTCTCCATCTCAGGCTTGCTGAATCCCTGCAGGTAGAGGAATTGAATAATGCTGTCCTTACAAGACCCTTCACGATGTAGCACCAATCTCATTTCACCACCCCCTGCAGCCCACTGTACCCTGAATCCACACAGACTATTTTCCATTTTCCTACTGTGACATGTACTTTCATGCAGTGACTTTTCATATTCTAGAGTGTTTTTTCTTGCCCTCCTTGCCTTTATACTTCCAGATGCTTCAACATTTAGCCCCAATAACATCTGCTCCGCTCCGTGAGGTCCTTACTCATCCACTGTGAAGAGGTGGGCTCGCCTTAGTGTCTTACAGCCCTTATAATACTTAACACAAATCTTGTTTGTTCTTGGAGTTTTAAGAGGCATAGAAAGTAACATCACTCTTCCTTGCTTAGTTCACAGAGAGACACATTATTGAATTCCTGTATCTCCAGAGATTCAGTGAGCCTCAGGTGAAGACGACTGTTAGTTTTAACGATGACTCCAGATAACTTGGATGTACATTCAGCGACATCAGATGGAAATGAAAATATCAGCTCCATTACTGATAGACTGCGCTCTGGAAGGTCAGACTTACGTGTGGGCATGGTTCTGTCTAAACTACACTCCCTCCAAATGTGAAGAATCTGCCTTACTAAGCTGCTACCTGGAAGAAGAGTAACAGAGAGCTTAACAGTAGGAATGGAGTGAGGGGAGAGAAAGAAAGGCAAAGACAGAAGTCCATTTTTCTCTTCTAAACTCTTCATCAGATAATCCGCTCTGACTGACCCTGAGTGAAGGGCCGAGGGGAGGGGAAAGGTGGAGAAAAGCTTAGTGTGGTCTGGTGGAAGTGCCTCATGGAAACATAAGAATTTTAGAATAAATACCTTCTAAGAGTACGGTACACATTTTTATATGATCATCTTACTGTTTCCTAGACTTCTAGAATCCCAAAGATGCTTCTGTTTATTTTTTTCATTTCTTCTGCCTGGTACTAAATTCAATAAATATTTGTTAAATGAATGCTTAATCCTGAAGCGTGAGATTTTAAAGACAGCAATAGTTCAAATTTAAAATCAAACAGCGTCTAGTCTTTTCAGATTCCCAGCAGTCTCTCTCACATAATTGCATGGTTTATTGGTTACGTTTGGACATTGTCTACAAGTGTTGTTTGTGGGAGATTTTATCCCCCAAATAGCTGAGCCTTCCATCTATTTTTAGTTGCTTTCTTAATTTAAATTCAAACAGGACAAAAGCCAGGACCTAATGTCCTGCTGTTGTGTACATAGCTTAAGGATGATTTCTAAATATTTGCTACTTTTTGTAAGAGAAACAGACCTTGTGAGGCATCACATATCTAGATGGATTGGAACCAGAGGAGAAGCCTGTGGTCCTTATTTCAAAAATCCTTGTTCACATTGGAGAGGAGTTGGCAGGTAAAAGCTGAAAGCTCTCCTCTGAATAAGCAGATAAAGGGAAATCATCAGCCTACTCAAGTTGAGGAATAGTTTGAAAATCAGTAATGAAGAGAGGCCAAAACACACCTTGGCCACTGGAGAGTAAAGTGGACAGAAGAAAGGCACGGAAACCAGACAGACCTTTGGCCTGGAATGTCAGCAGGTCACTTACATCTCAGAACCGGTTTCTTCATCTTGAGGGGGAGTTAATACCACTTTTGCAAGTTGGCTGTGATTAATGAGTGAGGCCAGGTGTGGTACCTGGCATAGCAGACACCAGTCTCTCTCATTTATACAGTGGACTAAGACCACACCAGCATCATGGACCAGCGACTCTGCTTCTCTGTCAACGCTTGTGGAGACAGGGATGGAGATGTTTTCTGAGCAAATTTATTTTTCAAAAAGGCATTGCCCAAATGTCGTATGGTTGATTTTTTTTTTCATTTGTGAAAATGTAAAGACATGCCTGAACACTTTCACCATGTTACCACCACTATACTGTTTACCTTTTTTACGTGAATGCAAGCTTTGAGTTTCAATGCTCATCTGGTCTACTTGGCTAGGGTGACATTTATGCTACTTAGGAATGGCTGACATTTAGATCTTAGCAGTAACTGTTGGAACACAGGTTACTCTTGGATAATTGGTTTAAATCCAATTCTTTTTGTTTTTCCTTGAGAGGAATGATAAGAAACTATTAACAGTGGTTTCTTTTGGGTGAAAGGGACACAATGGGAGAGGAAGCAGTCTCTAAGATGGCCCCCAAACACACCCACCACCTGGTGTTCACCCCATTGTGCAGTTTCCTCCACTCCAGTGTAGACTGGACTTACTAACTTGCCTCTAATGAACAGAATTCAGCAGAAGCAATGGATGTCAATCCCAAGATCAGGTTATAGAAAGACTGTAACTTCCACCTCGGGCGTTTTCTCTTGCCTTTTCTCTCATCTGCTCACTCAGAGGGACTCCGGTTCCCATAACGTGAGCTACCCTATGCAAGACTCCTGTGACAAGGAACCAGGGGACCCCTGCAGGAAACAGTCTATGAACGACTCAGGACCTTAATCCATTGCCTATGAGAAACTAAATTCTGCCAAAAACCAAATGAGTGAGGTTGAAAGACTTTCCCTTCATGGAGTCTTTAGATGAGACTGAAGCTCCAGTCAACAGTTTAACTGCAACCTCTTGAGAGACCTCATGCCAGAGACAACCAACGTCTGACCCCTGAGGACTGGACATAATAATGCTTTGTTATGTTAACGCTGCTAAATTTGGGGGTAATTTGTTGCATGGCAATAGATAACTAATAAAAAAAGAGAGAATGAAAAGGGTAATAAAAAGCAGTTTTTACCTTTTATTTTATGCCTGTTCTGCTGTATAAATTTTCTCGTTTTATATATGTACAATATTTACTTTCTAAAATATTGTCAACAGGTGTTATTTAGGCCAGTAGATTATGGCAAATCCTGCAAATTGGCTCACTCAGTGCAAACTCCAACAGCTTCTATTGCCTTCCCGTACTCAGAACAGCAAACTAAAAAAACAAAACAAAAAAAACCCTTACATTTCATTTCCTAGACTCTCTTGAAACTAAGAACCCATATGTGACCGAGTTTTTATTACGCAAACATATTGCTTAGGTAAAACTTAGGAAAAAATTAGCATGTTGGGACCATGGCATGCTCTAGCCAATCTGTGGGTAGAGATGAGATTCTATGTTCTAGGTATAAACTAGACTCTAGTCCTCAACATCGAAGTGTGAAGGGATAGTGTGAAGTGGCCATGGAGTTTCCATAAGAGCAGTTCCATTGAGTAGCTGGGCGTTATTACGTGGAGTCATTGTTCCTGTTTGGGCAACATCTAAGATGAGAACTTAACTCACTTAAGACTTCTCCCTCCTGCTTTCTGCTCCTTCCCAAATTTTATTTTATTTATTTTTTTGAGACTGATTCTCACTCTGTTGTCCAGTCTAGAGTGCAGTGGCGTGATCTCAGCTCACAGCAACCTCTGCCTCCTGGGTTCAAGCAATTCTCCTGCCTCAGCCTCCTGAGTAACTGGGATTACAGGCACACGCCACCCTGCCCAGCTAATTTTTTTTTTTTATTTTTAGTAGAGATGGGGTTTCACCATGTTGGCCAGGCTGGTCTCGAACTCCTGACCTCGTGATCTGCTCACCTTGGCCTCCCAAAATGCTGGGATTACAGATGTGAGCCAACATGCCTGGCCCCCAAATTTTAAATCAAATTAATTAGCATTAATTATTTAAAATGTTAAATTTATTTTGGTAGCTTCAAACTGACAGTATAATGCTTTACTATTTTTGTTCAACTAACTTTATCTTAACATTCCTTAACTTCCTTGTAAAACTCTACCCTTTCCCCCAACTTTTTTTAGCCTTGCTTCCACTAAGACTTTCGAAGGTGAAGGAAGGCCCTATTCATAATTACACTGGGACAAAAGACATAATCAAATCTTTGTTCATGCCATATAAGTAGCATTATATTTTGCCAGTTCTCTCCACCTGTCTGAAAATATATGCTCACAATCTTCTATTAATCAAAATGTAAGATCAATAAGTTGAAATATACAGAAAAATATAAAAGTGTGCTAAAATGGTGACATGTTTAGATTCACCATGTAAGTAAGATGATGTGGTACTTGTCTTTCTGTGCCTAGCTTATTTCACGTAACATAAAATAATGTCCTTCAAGTTCATCCACATTGCTGTAAATGACAGGATTTCCTTCTTTTTTTTTAAGGCTGAATTGTATTCCATTAAGTAGACATATCACATTTTCTAAATCTAAAAAAGTCAAACTGATAGAAGTAGAGATTAGAATGGTGATGACCCGGGGTTAGGGTTAGGAATTGGGCAATGCTGGTTAAAGGATACAAAATCCCAGTTAGATGGGAGGGAGGAGTCAGTTCAAGACAGCTGTCTACACTGTAGTGACTACAGTTTATAAGAACATATTGTATTCTTAAAACTTGCTAAGAGAATAGATTTTAAGTCACTCAATTTAGCCATTCCACAATGTATACATATTTCAAAACATCACATTGTACACAATAAACATATGCAATTTATTGTCAATTTTAAAAACAAATTGTTTAAAATGCTAACATTAGTCACTTCCATATGGTGAGATAATGTCAGTTTTTATTTTTCTTCTGCATATTTTTCATGCTTCCTAATTTTTGCCATTATCCATGGATTATGGAAGAGGGGGTGGGGGGGTTAAAATAATATTTACTTTTCTAGGCAGTGGATACTTAGGACATTAAATCCAGGGACTGACAACACCACTGAGTTGCTACTTATGGCGATCATCTTCTCCCAAGCTCCACATTTTAGCTTTGTACAGAGTGATGTCATTGTAGACCCTGAAGTGGTTCAGCCTGTGGTCACTGCGTTCTGGGTCGATCAAGGGCTCTGAGTCCCACCCAATTTCCTGGTTTTCAGTCTGCGCCTCTGGGTACTTCTTCCTTGGCCCCTGGGCAGCGTGGTGAATGAGATTCAGAAACCTGGCATCTGCAGGTTCTTCCAGGTTATCATGCCAAGACATGGGCTTCCTCGTAAACCCGTGAAACTTGCGCAGCGGATTCACATGGTACTGCGTGAAGAGTTTCTGGGTTCGCAACTCTTTGAGGTACAGCTCCCGCAAGATCTGGTTCTGAAGGACCTCATCTGTGACCACCCTCTCCTTCGGGCGCCCCGCCATGGCCTTGGAGCTGCTCTGTGGATCGGGTGCTCTCTGATTCCTCTCACTGCTTGCTTGGCCGCGGGCCTTCCGCTGTCTCCATGCAACGGTGTCCCTCTCTGTCTCCAGGCAACAGCGTTCCTAGGATACCGCTCTGGCCTCCGAACCCAGCCTCGTTATGAGAGCTGCCTCTGGATACTTCTTCCAGGAAAAAGGCTTGTCATCAAGTCACAGACCCAAAAGACAATGCACATAGAACTGGACCTCGGGTTGGCCAGTCACTTCCAGGCTACGGCGCCCCACTACATCTCCAGGCAACAGCATTCCTATGATACCACTCTGGCACCTCCGAACCCAGCCTTGTTACTAGAACCGTCTCTGGATACTGCCAGGAAAAAGGCTTGCCATCACCTTGCAGACTGAGAAGATAAAGCACATAGAACTGGACCACACGCTGGCCAATCACTTCCCTCCTTCCTAACAGATTTGATGTTCTTCATTCCTCTACCTTCTCCGCCCCTGGTCCTGAAGCTTGCTCTGTGGTTACACACCAAGTTCTATGGAGAAACCAGTTCAAATGCAGAGCTTGTGCAGGCTGGCGGCCCAGGCAGGGGAGGAAAGGTGCAGGCCAGGCCCAGTGTTCACTTGCCATGGTCTTGGATTCCCCGTGTCCCCCAGGTCACTGCTGGGAATCCAGTCTTGGCAATTCTGAATCGCCTGGGAACTGCCCCAGTAGGTGGGAAACCATCTCTCCAGGGTGAGATTTGTAATCTGTCAGGTCTGGTTGTGGGTGGCTGGATAGGGGGTGGGGTCTAGAGTACAGGGGACTAGTAAGAAGGGCTACGAGAAGGGTGAGGGGGAAATATAGGGGGGCACGGGGAAAGGGGTGTCTGATGAGCAGGGCACTGGCACACGGATGCTCTGGAATTAACAGAGGAAGAGAAGGGCAGGGAGTTCAGGGAGGTAGGGTACTGGGAAGGGGTGACTTTAGTCAGCTGGGGCAAACAGGTAGGTTGGAAGACTGAACAACGTGGACGGCCCTGGAGAGGAGGCTTACGGCAGGAAGTTTTAGGAGTAAGGGAAGGAAAAAGGGCTGGAACACGAGAGTGGGAAGGAACAGAAAGAAATGGAGCTTGGGGCTGAGGCCGAGAAATCAGAGGCAGCTTTCTGGTCATTTTTCCAAATGAGCGATGTAGTAACTCACTTGTTCAAACGAGTTAAAATGAGTAACTGAGATGTGCTGAGGCCAACTGCAGCATTTATCTCCTCAGGACATTCCACGATGGAATGCCTGTTATCTCCTGGGGCCGTTTCATCACAGAATGCCTATTATGAAGCATATATGCTCCCTTTTGTTCTAGCAAGGAGGCCCCACCAATCAGGGAAATGGTCTGTTTCTTGGTTTAAGAGTGACCATGGGAAATAGCAAAGAAAATAAATAGGGGCTGTAATATTGGTCCCTGCTCTTGGGGTATCACATAGTTTTGCCCCTCCATAGGCCAAGAGTGATCCAGGGGCTAACACAGAGGTAGAGGGTTGGGGCCTAGAAGAGCAGTTCTGAAGTAGGAATTGGGGAAGTCAGTATCCTAGTCTCTTTCCCTTACTAGTGTTCAAAGCCCTCGCACATTATCTACCTCACTGTGTGAATATGCATGACTAGAGGGGTTATGTTCATTTTACCAGTGAGGACACTAAAGACAAGAGAGGGAATGACTGCAGGCAGGCAGGGGGTAGGTGAGCAGGTGGGACTAGAACTTGGGCCAAGAAGAGGGGGCAGATAGGAGGGAGCACAAAATGGCACAAAGCGCTGACCAGCACCATTGCCTCCTCCTGTGTCTCTGGACAGGATCTTGTAGGGGATGCCTCAGAGAAAGCTGTACTTTTTGTAGCTTACCTCTTGGTCTCTGTGCTCCCTTGGTTTGATGCCTTCATCTTTGCTGGAACCAGAAACACAGGGTCCAAGCTGGTAGGATGACCGCCCACTCCTGAGCACCGATTGATTAGATTTGGACTTCCTTGCTCACTACCTAAGATGCCTAACTCCATCAGATATGAGGAAGGAAGCTGCTGTACCCTCCCCTTTCTTTTGTCTTAAGTAGCAACTGTCTCTGCTGAGCATTCCTGGTTTCTTTGAATGCCATTCAAATCATAGGCTCCTTTGGTCCCCTGTTCTCTCCTGTGCTTGTATCACCATAAGATTCTGAATTTTCTCCCTTGGCCCAATACTCTTTACCTCCCGTGCTGCATAAAACTTTCAGTTGTGCTTCGGAAGTGCAGCCACATGATTAGCAAACTTCTCTTTTTCCATCAACTGCTTCTTAATTGACAGTTCCTTGCCTCTCCTTGCTTTAACTGTAACTTGGATTTTTCTTGAGGACATTGCTTCCCTTGTATCTCAAGTAGAAACCACTTGTTCTGTCAAACTCTGAGGTACTTCAGAGTAAGAATGTGGTTTATAGATTCTCCTTGCTTCTTCTGACTCCTTGAAAACCACACTGCATTATTTCTCTCTTCATACTGGAATATCTCTTGCTCCTTATGAGTTATATTTAAACTAGGAAAGAAAACTTACTGGGAAATAAAAAAAGTAATACCTTCTTTATAATCACCTAAATGAACAAAAATGTTAATGCATAGTGCAGAAAACAAGCGTGTTCTCTACTCTCACTGTGTATTAGTCTGTTCTCATGCCGACAATAAAGACAAAGAACTTACAAAGAAAAAGAGGTTTAATAAATTCATAGTTCCATGTGGCTGGGGAGGCCTCATAATCATGGTGGAAGGCAAAGGAGGAGCAAAGGCACATCTTACATGGTGGCAGGCAAGAGAGCATGTGCAGCAGAACTCCCCTTTATAAAGCCATCAGATCTCATGAGACTTACTCACTATCATGAGAACAGCAAAGGAAAGACCTGCACCCCCATGATTCAATTACCTCTCATCAGGCCCCTCCCACAACATGTGGTAATTGTGGGAGGTACAATTCAAGATGAGATTTGGGTGGGGACCCAGCCAAACCACATCACATTGATTGTAAACAATAGCCAATAGATTGTTTACTTTTGACCAGGTTGAAGGAAGAGTCAACATGTAGTTCCACAGAGCATGTTGTAGGCAGTGAGGGAAGAGAAAGCACAGGAATTTTTGAAGATCTTTCTAAGGTCCCTTCAATTTGGAGAACAGAGCTTAAGAATCTGAGAAAGCCAAGAAAGGAAATGAGCTCAGTTCCTCACTGGAGAATGACGCAAGTGGCAGGATCAAGAAGTAGCAGGTGCCTACGTGGACTTACCACTATGCAGATTCAGGTTCTGCAAGCAGCCTGACCCATGGCTGGGCTGAGTTACTTTCCACTAAGTAGACAACAGATTTTAAAGAAATGTATGGGAGGACAAAGTTGCCAGAGTGCCTAGTTTAATTCCCAATCCATCAATTATTTGAAGAGCTGGGCTCAGCAGGGCTTCTCCCAAAGTACATGAAAGCTGGGAGAACCACCATGCATGAGGGAGCCATAGTGGAGGCCAACATATGGATAGTTTGGATAGTTTGGTGGTTCTGCCTCCAATAGAGGACAGAACAAACAAAACAGAAATAAGTATGTTCTTAAAAATATTTTAGAAGAAATTTGGGGGGGCTAAGGAAGGAATAGCAGGGGGCGGGGGGATTGGGGAGGGATAGCATTAGGAGAAACACCTAATATAGATGACAGGGTGATGGATGCAGCAAACTACCACCATGGCACTTGTAACAAACCTGCACGATCTGCACGTGTACCCCATAACTTAAAGTATAATAAATAAATAAGAAAAAAAAGAAGACATTTTCTCTAAAATGAAGGAAGGTAAGAATCATCAGATCAAAAAGAAAATTTACAATGGGTGGCTAATGCCACAACAGTCTGGAAAATCTGCTGAACTACAAGGTTAAGGATAGCCTTATGAATACTCCTGTCACCTATTAAGCTTAAAAACCTGAGGGTGAACTCAGACTTCTTCTAAGCAGCATTAAATGCTAGCAGATAACGGAGCAAGTTTCAGAGGAATGTCACTCAGATGTGGTCTGTAGGCTGGCAGCTCCTGCATCACCTGGGATCTTGTTAGAATGCCAAATCCTGGGCCAGGCGCGGTGGCTCAGCCTATAATCTCAGCAGTTTGGGACACCGAGGCAGGTGGATCCCCTGAGGTCACAGGTTTGAGACAGGCCTGGCCAACATGGAGAAACTCCATCTCTACTAAAAGTACAAAATGTGGTGGGTGCATAATCCTAGCTACTCCGGAGGTTGAGGCAGGAGAATCTCTTGAACCCAGGAGGCAGAGGTTTCAATGAGTGGAGATCACACCACTGCACTCCAGCCTGGGCGACAAGAGCAAAACTCCATCTCAAAAAAAAAAAAAAAGAAAGAAAGAATGCCAAATAAATCCTGGACCTCTATGAACCACTATCCCAGACATACTAATTTCAGTTCTCTGGAGGTAGAACTCAGAAATCAGAAATCAGTGTCTAATATGCCCTCCAGGTGATTCAGATGCACGGCTCACGTATGAGAAGCACTGCTCCAAACTTTAGTAAAATAAACGCAGGTGGCTCATGAATTTTATATCATGCTAGGTTGTCATTTGCATATGAGGTAACAGATAGCCATCTCTGCTTTGTATAAACTCAGGAAGTATATTTCTCATGAATATTTGAGACAGGAGGAATTGAATGAAGGAATTTAGTTTCACTGTTCATGTAACAGTTAAGATAACAAACGACATTAAGACACTTCAAGATTAGCCCAGACCCCTTGGCTGACTAGATAAAGGGGTCAGGCCAAGGGCCAGAGTTGCCTGAAGGGATCTAGAATCCTGGCAGGCCTGCCTCATAGGGATGGAGATAGTGCTTTATGCAATGGGGAGCTGGTGCCTGAGATGCTGAGGGATGGATTGGGAGAAAAAATTCTGCTTCACCTTCCTCCATACTCCCAGTGTCTTGCCAGACATTCCTGTCGGCCAAGTCCAGCTGAAAAACCAGCTGAATCAAGACCCTGCGG